GCTGCTCCAATGAGCCTGGGTCTACCTCTAGTGGGGAGAGGGGGAACTAACATTTCAGAGAATAAACACAAGCAAATGTTCAGAGAGAGAGAGGGATACACCCTTCAGCTCATGGGCATTTCAATGAAGCTGACATCAGGATCAGAGTTTGGTTTATTGCCTCAAAAAGGAATCTGCTCTCCTGTATGAACGTGAATACATAACCACAGTAAGAGAAAATAGAAATGTAAAATAAGAGCCAATATAGAAATATTTTAAAAACTATTGTGAAAATCACTAAATATGATAACCTCATGAAGAGAGGTTTAATGGCAGGACAGCTGCATTAGTTTAAGCTTAAAGACTGGCAAATTAATGTATTGAAATACTGCACACATTAGTAAACAATGCCTTAACTTTAAAGCTTACTTAGTTACTACTGCCCAAGAGTTTATGTTTTTGGTTCGGTTACTATGTTTGTCTGTCTGTCAGCAGGTTTACGGTAAACTGCTGGCCCGCTTTCCATTCAACTTGGTGGAAGTGTAAAGCATGGGCCAAGGGAGATACCATTTCATTTTAGAGCAGATCTGAATAACAACACGTAAACACGCTGTATTTTTCACAAAGGGCGGCCTCGGAGGTGCTCTGGAGTCTCTGGTTACTTATTTGTTCAGAAATAATACTTTGTTTGGATAAATGCTCAAGATTTTCAGGGACCTTAAATGCAATATCAACGACGACAGAGGAAATGGAATAGAAGCTAAATATTGGGGCAGTATTTTGTTTTGAGCACACACGCAGTCATACTTTTTGTTCGTACTTCCAGGATGAATGCCAAAGTCTTCATTCAATATATCAAACGGCCAAACGGTAATCTAACCGAATGTATCTATATGCAATCCTATCAGGACCTGAGCAATCGTTACAGCACTGAGTGAAAATGTTTTTGGATTGTGATTCTGCTCCGTCTCCCCCTCCTCCTCCTCCTCCTCCCCCCCCTCCACTCTGATATCAAGCCACACTTTAGTAATCCTCCAAATGAAAGGATTTGGAGCGAGAGCATCGTCTCCCCACTGAAGATTGCAATGAAAGAGAAGGCAGCTTCTCAGATGAGAGAGAAGGGAGAAAACCCCGTGATGAGAGGGAGAGACATACTGTACACAATGTGAGAAAGAACAAAAATATACATGGTGGGAGAAAAAAACGAGGCAAGAGGAAGGGAATGAAAGAAAGGCGGGACCATTTGAGACAAAAGCGAAAACATGAAGACGTCACTAGAAAGAGACACTAAGACATGTTTTTAATTTTGATTGAGTTGATGGGGAAGAAGAGACATGACAGAGGGATGTTACTGTCTTTAAGGAGAGAGAACGAAAGCAAGAGAGGGTTTATGGACTCTTACAGATATGCATGATACACCTTAAAGCACCTCTCATCAATATCTTATTTAAAGAATGGATCGGATAATGAAAGGTGTTGAGTCTTTGAGCACATTGTTTTGGTTTTATGGCTCACATTTTCACTGTTTTGGTTCACTTTCAATGCTCTCATCAGTGACAGTTTGTACACTTCCTACTCACAAACCCAACTGAAGACAGACATAATTAGTGACTAACTGGTGAACGTAGTGGAAAATGTAGATCCTTATACAGTAAGTGCCAGACTTTGGGTCTGAAAAGTTTTAAAGAGTCATGAATCGTCCAGAAACATGATCGTGTTAGCAAGGGGCGGACTGGGACTAAAAATCAGCCCGGGCATCTCGACCGACCCACTTCGGTACCACTAGTAAATTGTCAACGGGGGGGGGGTGCTAGTGACTTATCCGACCGGCCCACATCGTCCGACCGGCCCACTTCGGCATTCGTCCCAAACGTCCCGATGGCCAGTCCGCCACTGCTGTTAGCTAATATGTTTGTCATACTACCTTAATAGGATAATGATGCAGATGTTAAAACAAGAAATTTCTAGTATTTTCATTTAAGGAAAATAGATAGTAATAACCCAAATTTGAACCCATACTTAAGAGTCATTTTGAATATGTTTGACTTTCCGATTATCAGTACAAATTAAGTCAGGCGAGTTTCATTTTCAAGGTCTTTCAAACAGATGATGACAAGTCTAATTTTCTACCTTTCACAGGTCACTCAGTGCAAATCTCAAAATGACTAAGAAAAATGACTACACACAAAGTCAAAAAAAGCAAACTAAGAGACAGCTCGACCCTCCATCGCTCGGGCCGCGGGGGAGCGACCCGAGCGATGTGAGCATTTCCTGATGGTAAGGGAAGCCTATAGGCCCGAGGCAATATGAGGCCGGACTACATGGGGCCTCTTGCTATGTGATCTAGACGAAAGTCAACAGTTTAGTTTCCATATCGCTGTGTGGCAAGACCCCGGGTCAACAGCAACACAGGGAGTGTAAGAGATAGAACCAGGGAGGCCTAATAACCTGCACGTATGTGTGTGTGTGTGTGTGTGTGTGTGTGTGTGTGTGTGTGTGTGTGTGTGTGTGTGTGTGTGTGTGTGTGTGTGTGTGTGTGTGTGTGTGTGTGTGTGTGTGTGTGTGTGTGTGTGTTTGTATATAGGGCTTTAGGGTGCAAATCCTACATACTAATAGCCTCTGTGTGGACAAGTGTATCTGTGGCAAGACTTTAAAATGCGCAGGAGCAATAATTTGTGCGTCTGTGTGTGTGTTTGCAGCTTATGGCAGCGTGGGAGGCAGCAGAAAGCCCTTCTTCATATATAAGGAAATCACATACATTCCAAAAACAAGACAAATGCAACTTATCTTAAACACAAATAGACATCCAATATAAACACTATTTACCTGGCTCTCCTTTATCGTAGTACTGATAGGTGCCAATATCTGTATCTGTAGGGGGGGGGGAGAGAGGGAGAGAGGGAGAGAGAGAGGGAGATGAACATCTAGCTGTCAGGGAAAAGCAGAAGACAGATCAGCAATTTCGCACCGTGGGATAAACAATCGCTATCAGCCAGTGGCCTGTCCCGTCTGCCAGCACCACAGTTTAGATAAGACCCTGTGAGGGGGGAGGAGGGAGGGGG